TTCTTCGTAAAATGAATGGCCAGGACCCTTTCTGAAAAAGTGGTACTGAGACCCGTTGAGGCTTTACCGGCTAAACAAGTGACATTGTTTTGATTATAACACACAACTCCGGCGGTACTCCGTTAACAAAACCCGTCAATATTTTTGAATAGCGCCCTACTTATAAGAAACAAGCTTATTTTGTTTAACACACCAGTGACCGCATAGCTGTACCTTCCAGGGTTGCAGTCTTCCCATCTTAGCCCCTCCCCAACCTCTTGCTAAAGACCCCAACCAATGTCCTTGTGCACTCCTCGGATCTCTTTCCACCCACGCAGTGTGGCTTATCTTGCAGTCGGTCCCAGCCAGGGGCGGTTTCTTCATTAGGGCGATTGGGCGACGCACCACCAATGTCATTCAACCACAGAGTCACGCTAGCCGTCACTGTGCCTCTGGATATAGTCCAATCAGCGTCATGTCACGTTCTGTGGAGTACCGCCTCTTTTTGGGCGATTTCACTCTGGCTGAGAATCGCCCCGAGTGTTCCCGTAGACTTGCATTGAAAGATGTTTTTTTCCGAACGGCGGGCGCTGCAATGAATTCTCTACGGCTTCCGGGAGGGCTCGCCCTAACGTGCTTACGTCATCATACGTAAGCACGTTTCATCCAACAATATAATTTGTCGCCACCTAGTGGAATTTTTAATAAAAGAAACTTGAGTGGATTGTATTAATAGTGAGTATAGAAACAAACAAGATGTATTGTAAGAGTCACTTTATTTTTCATTAATATTAAAGAAGTGAAGTTGCCTGTACATGCTTAAGCTGTTAATTTATCCATTGCATGGGTGGACCTTATCCTTATCAATCATCCAGACATTTGCCCCCCCCCCTGAGAGATTTTGCAGGAGCCGCCACTGAGCAAGATCGATTCCCATGTTATCCCAATGGAATTCGATTCCATCCACTCTAATCACTAGCAAGATCGATTCCCATGTTATCCCAATGGAATTCGATTCCATCCACTCTAATCACCAGCAAGATCGATTCCCATGTTATCCCAATGGAATTCGATTCCATCCACTCTAATCACTAGCAAGATCGATTCCCATGTTATCCCAATGGAATTCGATTCCATCCACTCTAATCACTAGCAAGATCGATTCCCATGTTATCCCAATGGAATTCGATTCCATCCACTCTAATCACCAGCAAGATCGATTCCCAGGTTATTCCCAATGGAATTCGATTCCCTCCCACTCTAATCACTAGCAAGATCGATTCCCATGTTATCCCAATGGAATTCGATTCATTCCACTCTAATCACTAGCAAAAGATCGATTCCCATGTTATCCAAATGGAATTCGATTCATTCCACTCCTCTATCACTAGCAAGATCGATTCCCATGTATCCCCAATGGATTCGATTCATTCCACTCTAAGCACTAGCAAGATCGATTCCCATGTTATCCCAAGGGAATTCGATTCCTTCCACTCTAATCACTAGGCAAGATCGATTCCCATGATTTATCCCCATGGATTCGATTCATTCCACTCTAATCACTAGCAAGATCGACTTCCCATGTTATCCCAATGGAATTCGATTCATTTCCACCTAATCCACTAGCAAGATCGATTCCCCATGGTACTTCCAAATGGAATTCGATTCAGTCCACTCTAATCACTAGCAAGATCGATTCCCATGTTATCCCAATGGAATTCGATTCGATCCACTCTAATCACTAGCAAGATCGATTCCCATGTTATCCCAATGGAATTCGATTCATCCACTCTAATCACTAGCAAGATCGATTCCCATGTTATCCCAATAGAATTCGATTCCATCCACTCTAATCACTAGCAAAGATCGATTCCCATGTTATCCCAATGGAATTCGATTCCATCCCCTGTAATCACTAGCAAGATCGATTCCCATGTTATCCCAATGGGAAATCGATTCGATCCACTCTAATCACTAGCAAGATCGATTCCCAGTTATCCCAATGGGATTCGATTCCATCCACTGTAAGCACTAGCAAGATCGATTCCACTGTATCCCAATGGATTCGTTCCATCCACTCTAATCACTAGCAAGATCGATTCCCATGTTATCCCAATGGAAAATTTCGATCCGATCCACTTGCGAATCACACAGCAAGATCGATTCCCATGTTATCCCAATGGAATTCGAGTCCATCCACTCTAATCACACTAGCAAGATCGATTCCCATGTATCCCAATGGAATTCGATTCCATCCACTCTAATCACTAGCAAGATCGATTCCCATGTTATCCCAATAGAATTCGATTCCATCCACTCTAATCACCAGCAAGATCGATTCCCATGTTATCCCAATGGAATTCGATTCTATCCACTCTAATCACTAGCAAGATCGATTCCCATGTTATCCCAATGGAATTCGATTCCATCCACTCTAATCACTAGCAAGATCGATTCCCATGTTATCCCAATGGGATTCGATTCCATCCACTGTAATCACTAGCAAGATCGATTCCCATGTTATCCCAATGGGAATCGATTCTATCCACTCTAATCACCAGCAAGATCGATTCCCATGTTATCCCAATGGGAATCGATTCCATCCACTGTAATCACTAGCAAGATCGATTCCCATGTTATCCCAATGGAATTCGATTCCATCCACTCTAATCACAAGCAAGATCGATTCCCATGTTATCCCAATGGAATTCGATTCCATCCACTCTAATCACTAGCAAGATCGATTCCCATGTTATCCCAATGGGAATCGATTCCATCCACTCTAATCACTAGCAAGATCGATTCCCATGTTATCCCAATGGAATTCGATTCCATCCACTGTAATCACCAGCAAGATCGATTCCCATGTTATCCCAATGGAATTCGATTTCATCCACTCTAATCACTAGCAAGATCGATTCCCATGTTATCCCAATGGAATTCGATTCCATCCACTGTAATCACCAGCAAGATCGATTCCCATGTTATCCCAATGGGAATCGATTCTATCCACTCTAATCACTAGCAAGATCGATTCCCATGTTATCCCAATGGGAATCGATTCCATCCACTCTAATCACTAGCAAGATCGATTCCCATGTTATCCCAATGGAATTCGATTCCATCCACTCTAATCACTAGCAAGATCGATTCCCATGTTATCCCAATGGGAATCGATTCCATCCACTCTAATCACTAGCAAGATCGATTCCCATGTTATCCCAATGGAATTCGATTCCATCCACTCTAATCACTAGCAAGATCGATTCCCATGTTATCCCAATGGAATTCGATTCATCCACTCTAATCACTAGCAAGATCGATTCCCATGTTATCCCAATGGAATTCGATTTCATCCACTCTAATCACTAGCAAGATCGATTCCCATGTTATCCCAATGGAATTCGATTCCATCCACTCTAATCACCAGCAAGATCGATTCCCATGTTATCCCAATGGGAATCGATTCTATCCACTCTAATCACTAGCAAGATCGATTCCCATGTTATCCCAATGGAATTCGATTCATTCCACTCTAATCACTAGCAAGATCGATTCCCATGTTATCCCAATGGAATTCGATTCATTCCACTCTAGTCACTAGCAAGATCGATTCCCATGTTATCCCAATGGAATTCGATTCATTCCACTCTAATCACTAGCAAGATCGATTCCCATGTTATCCCAATGGGAATCGATTCTATCCACTCTAATCACTAGCAAGATCGATTCCCATGTTATCCCAATGGAATTCGATTCATTCCACTCTAGTCACTAGCAAGATCGATTCCCATGTTATCCCAATGGAATTCGATTCATTCCACTCTAATCACTAGCAAGATCGATTCCCATGTTATCCCAATGGGAATCGATTCCATCCACTCTAATCACTAGCAAGATCGATTCCCATGTTATCCCAATGGAATTCGATTCCATCCACTCTAATCACTAGCAAGATCGATTCCCATGTTATCCCAATGGAAATCGATTCCATCCACTCTAATCACTAGCAAGATCGATTCCCATGTTATCCCAATGGGAATCGATTCCATCCACTCTAATCACCAGCAAGATCGATTCCCATGTTATCCCAATGGGAATCGATTCCATCCACTGTAATCACTAGCAAGATCGATTCCCATGTTATGCAATTCCAATCGGAATTGATTGACTTTGTCCAATTCTCTGCAAGAATCAATTCCCAACGTCCCGATCGATTTTCTCTCCACGTCACTCGGGAAGCTACGACACGTGGGTCCGTGTGGTCGTCATGACGATGCACAAACTCTGCAAACTTGGCCTACTCTTCCACTTCGTGCTGCCTCTCATCGACCACCTCGTCACATGTAACCACGGTGAGCAGAGCCGGTCGATAAATCGGGTACCAAGTTGACTGGGGAGCGGTGGTGCAGTGGTTAGGTCACTGTGTGTGGGTGCTCATGCTGTTGTGGAGTGGCTCATGCAGCCAGCTGTGGCTGCAGGGTTCTGGTGGTACATGTTGTTTATGCCGCTTATTGTGAAAATTCCGTCACAGTTCCTATGATCACTGTTTCATTGCTTTCATGGCTTTATTTTGGTGATTTCGAAAAGTGTATTGGTTTGGCCATGTTTGTTTGTTGTAGTACAGAGTTAGACTGATGGCCTTAATCTAAGTTGTCTTGTGGTTGTTGTTGTTGTTGTTTGACTTGCATCCCACTGGGATGTTTGCACACAGAGTTGGTGTACGGTGTTTTTTGTCTGCAATGTTTTGCTGTCTTTTCTTAGATTTTCTTTTTGCACTCAGTCACATAGTCACTTTAAGATGTTTTTTGTTAGGTTTTTGTTTTTTTAAATCCTTTATATTAAGTTCGCTTGCTTGCTTGCGTGCTTGCGCGCTTACGACCGTGCAAATCTTTCGGTAGTTTTTTAACCCACTTCCCGTGATCCAATCGAGCTGACATTTTGCACACAGACTCGTTGTGCGAGACAATTAATGTTCGTGAATTTTTTTTAAAAAATTTTACACTTTTTAGGGAAAGCAAATTAAATATTTAATTACCAATTGCTTAATACTGGCAGACAATCATCTGACCCATAGGTGGCAGCCATCTCAAGCTCTGGTTAAGCTGGGATCCCGGCACCCTGAGTCTCCAGACCGGCTCTTATAAGAACATCGGTCTGGGCTCTCGGGGCCACGCCACCGGCTTGCCCCGGTCGGTCCTGACAAGGACAGCGAGCCAGGGGAGTTCCAGGGCCTACTCTAGCTGGTCTTCGATCTTCGCTGGTTGAAGCTAACACTCGACCCTGAGCCCTCCGGCTCATCACCTTATATAGCAATCTCCCCCCGGGGGGGGCCGTGGGGGATGGCAGGTGCGGACGTCGATGTAAGCACCTTCTCTGCGTACGGCCATAACCACGCCCCATCCGTACCAATACACCTCTACACATGTCACTGTAGTTAAGAGTCGTAAGTCGGGGACTGTATGTTCATGTTGTAGTGAGAGTCGTAAGTCGGGGACTATGTGCATAATGTTATAGTGAGAGTCGTAAGTCGGGGACTGTGCATAATGTTGTAGTGGGTGTCGTAAGTCGGGGACTACCTGTGCACTGTTGTTGTGAGAGTCGTAAGTCGGGGATTTCTGGAAAATGTGGTGTCGTGAGAGTTGTAAGTCGGGGACTGCTTGAACATTGTTATAGTGAGAGTCGTAAGTCGGGGACTGTCCGTGCATGATGCTGTGGTGAGTGTCGTAAGTCGGGGACTGTGGGTACAACGTGTTGCAGTGAGAGTCGTGGACTGTGTACAAGGCAACACCCGCGGGGATGACCCCTTTGCCCCTCTAGGCGCCTCGTCCCTCTCCTCCTCCTCCTCCCCCTCCTCCTCCTCGTCGCTGGCGCTCACCTGGCCGCCCGTGGAGACGCAGCGCCGCCGCCACCGCCGCCGCTGCGTCTCTTTCAGCCGCTACGGAGACGCGGAGGAGGCGGTGGGGGGGGGGCGGTCGGAGGCCGGAGGCACCGTGCTTTGTGACGCTGCCGGGGGGGAGCAGGAGGGGAGGGAGGAGGAGGGGAGGGAGCACGAGGGGAAGGAGGAGGGTGGCTTCTGCTACGCGGCGTGGCGCAACGTGTCGGGCGACATCTTGCTGGAGCGCCAGGGCTGCTGGGTGCACGACTGCCGTGGGAGGTGAGGAGCAGACCAGCAGCCCCCCCACCTTCTCCCCCCCCATCTCCTCCCCCCCCACCTCCTCCCCCCCCCACCTCCTCCCCCCCTTCATCATCTCCTCCCCCCACCTCCCCCCCCACCACCTCCCCCCCCACCTCCTCCCCCCCCACCACCTCCCCCACCTCCCCCCCACCACCCCCAAACCACCTCCCCTCACACCTCCTCCCCCTCACACCTCCTCCCACCTCCCCCCCCCCTTCCTCCTCCCCACCACCTCCTCCCACCTCCCCCCCCCCTCCTGCTCCCTCCTCCCCACCACCTCCTCCTCCCCCCACACCTCCTCCCCCTCACGACCTCCTCTCTCTTCCTCCCCCCCACACCACCTCCCCACCTCCTCCCACCTCCCCCCCCTCCTGCTCCCTCCCCCCCACCCTCTGGGTGTCCCACTGTGATCAGGAGCGAGTGCGTGGAGTCGAGCAGCAACCCCTTTGTCTACTTCTGCTGCTGTGACAGGGACCTCTGTAACGTCGCCTTCGCCCGACGGCCCCGGCCACACGGTCAGTCTTGAGCCGGGAGAGACGCCGGAGACGGTTCACGAGGCGGGAAGAATCGATGCCGTTCCAGCTCTCAGTGGCGGCTCCTGCAAAATCTCTCAGGGGGGGGGCAAATGTCTGGATGATTGATAAGGATAAGGTCCACCCATGCAATGGATAAATTAACAGCTTAAGCATGTAAAGGCAACTTCACTTCTTTAATATTAATGAAAAATAAAGTGACTCTTACAATACATCTTGTTTGTTTCTATACTCACTATTATTACAATCCACTCAATTTCTTTTATTAAAGATTCCACTAGGTGGCGACATATAATATTGTTGACTGAAACGTGCTTACGTATGATGACGTAAGCACGTTAGGGCGAGCCCTCCCGGAAGCCGTAGAGAATTCATTGCAGCGCCCGCCGTTCGGAAAAAAACATCTTTGAATGTAAGTCTATGGGAACACTCGGGGCGATTCTCAGCCAGAGTGAAATCGCCCAAAAAGAGGCGGTACTCCACAGAACGTGACATGACGCTGATTGGACTATATCCAGAGGCACAGTGACGGCTAGCGTGACTCTGTGGTTGAATGACATTGGTGGTGCATCGCCCAATCGCCCTAATGAAGAAACCGCCCCTGGTTCCAGCTCTCTCTCGTTTTTGTCACGGCCCGGCCAGGCCTGGCTGGTGTTGGCGAACGGCAAAAAACGATTGTTTACGACCGAGAAAGGTGGATAATTTAAAAGGATGATTATAATTAATATTGCAATGTATGAAGAGCTACAATCCTCCTCTGTGGCGCGACGCGTGGTTGATGTGAAATAAATAAAATATTTTATTTTCTACCTACGTAGGTAGAAAATAAAATATATTATTTTATTTTATACCTACGTAACTTTACCGAAATAACCAAAGAGTGTGTATGGGAGCCTTTAACATTAAAGTCTATGGGAGAATTTAACATTGAAGTCTATGGCAGCCTTTAACATTGAAGTCTATGGGCGAATTTAACATTGAAGTCTATGGGAGCCTTTAACATTGAAGTCTATGGTAGCCTTTAACATTGAAGTCTAAAGGAGAATTTAACGTTGAAGTCTATGGGAGCTTTTAACATTGAAGTCTATAGGAGAATTTAATATTGAAGTCTATGGGAGCCTTTAACATTGAAGTCTATGGGAGACTTTAACATTGAAGTCTATGGGAGACTTTAACATTGAAGTCTATAGGAGAATTTAACATTGAAGTCTATAGGAGAATTTAATATTGAAGTCTATGGGAGAATTTAACATTGAAGTATATGGGAGAATTTAACATTGAAGTCTATGGGAGCCTTTAACATTAACGTCTATGGGAGACTTTAACATTGAAGTCTATGGGAGCCTTTCACATTGAGGTCTATGGGAGACTTTAACATTGAAGTCTATGGGAGAATTTAACATTGAAGTCTATGGGAGAATTTTACATTGAAGTCTATGGGAGCCTTTAACATTAAAGTCTATGGGAGACTTTAACATTGAAGTCTATGGGAGCCTTTAACATTGAAGTTTATGGGAGACTTTAACATTGAAGTCTATGGGAGACTTTAACATTGAAGTCTATGGGAGAATTTAACATTGAAGGCTATGGGAGATTTTAACATTGAAGTCTATGGGAGACTTTAACATTGAAGTCTACGGGAGACTTTAACATTGAAGTCTATGGGAGACTTTAACATTGAAGTCTATGGGAGAATTTAACATTGCGGTCTATGGGAGACTTTAACATTGACGTCTATGGGAGACTTTAACATTGAAGTCTATGGGAGACTTTAACATTGCAGTCTATGGGAGACTTTAACATTGAAGTCTATGGGAGAATTTAACATTGAAGTCTATGGGAGACTTTAACATTGAAGTCTATGGGAGACTTTAACATTGAAATATATGGGAGACTTTAACATTGAAGTCTATGGGAGACTTTAACATTGAAGTCTATGGGAGACTTTAACATTGAAGTCTATGGCAGCCTTTAACATTGAAGTCTATGGGAGGATTTAACATTGAAGTCTATGGGAGACTTTAACATTGAAGTCTATGGGAGACTTTAACATTGAAGTCTATGGGAGAATTTAACATTGAAGTATTTGAGAGACTTTAACATTGAAGTCTATGGGAGACTTTAACATTGAAGTCTTTGAGAGACTTTAACATTGAAGTCTATGGGAGACTTTAACATTGAAGTATATGGGAGACTTTAACATTGAAGTCTTTGAGAGACTTTAACATTGAAGTCTATGGGAGAATTTAACATTGAAGTCTTTGAGAGACTTTAACATTGAAGTCTATGGGAGACTTTAACATTGAAGTCTATGGGAGACTTTAACATTGAAGTCTTTGAGAGACTTTAACATTGAAGTCTATGGGAGATTTAACATTTACGTCTATGGGATACTTTAACATTGAAGTCTATGGGAGGATTTAACATTGAAGTCTATGGGAGACTTTAACATTGAAGTCTATGGGAGAATTTAACATTGAAGTATATGGGAGACTTTAACATTGAAGTCTATGGGAGAATTTAATATTGAAGTCTATGGGAGCCTTTAACATTGAAGTCTATGGGAGCCTTTAACATTGAAGTCTATGGGAGAATTTAACATTGAAGTCTATGGGAGCCTTTGACATTGAAGTCTATGGGAGACTTTAACATTGAGTCTATGGGAGACTGTAACATTGACGTATATGGGAGACTTTAACATTGAAGTATATGGGAGGATTTAACATTGAAGTCTATGGGAGACTTTAACATTGAAGTCTATGGGAGAATTTAACATTGAAGTATATGGGAGACTTTAACATTGAAGTCTATGGGAGAATTTAACATTGAAGTCTATGGGAGCCTTTAACATTGAAGTATATGGGAGACTTTAACATTTAAGTCTATGGGAGACTTTAACATTGACGTCTATGGGAGCATTTAACATTGCAGTCTATGGGGGCCTTTAACATTGAAGTCTATGGGAGCCTTTAACATTGAGTCTATGGGAGCCTTTAACATTGAAGTCTATGGTAGACATTAACATTGACGTCTATGGGAGCCTTTAACATTGAAGTCTATGGGAGACTTTAACATTGAAGTATATGGGAGCCTTTAACATTGACGTCTATGGGAGCCTTTAACATTGAGTCTATGGGAGACTTTAACATTGAAGTCTATGGGAGACTTTAACATTGAAGTCTATGGGAGCCTTTAACATTGAAGTCTATGGGAGACATTAACATTGAAGCCTATGGGAGCCTTTAACATTGAAGTCTATGGGAGACATTAACATTGAAGTCTATGGGAGCAGCCCCTGTGAGTGCCTTCACAGCTGAGCCTCCTGTTGCAGAGGTCACTCAGCAGCCTACGCCGGTGGCCAGGCCGGTGCCCACGCCGGTGACCTTGCTGTCCGTCACGACGCCGCTGCTTCTGCTGCTGCTGCCGCTCTCCGTGTGGACGTACCGGCGATGCCGCAAGCTGACGCATGCCACAACGCCTCCGCAGGTGGTGGTGGTGCTGTGTGTGTGTCTGTGTGTGTGTGTCTGTGTGTGTGTGTGTCTGTGTCTGTGTGTGTGTGTCTGTGTGTGTCTCTGTGTGTATCTCTGTGTGTGTGTGTCTGTGTGTGGCCTCAAGGTGCACTTGGCCTGGCACAAGCGTCGTGGTGACGTCACCGCCACTTAGTGGCGAATGGCGGTTGTTGTTGTTGTGTCTGTGTGTGTCTGTGTGTGTGTGTCTGGTGGGGAGCGGTAGTGCAGTGGTTAGCGCGCTGCGCTATGAACCTGGCGATCCGGGTTCGATTCCCGCTCACGGCGAACACCAGTGACGATTATCTGAACCGGTCCTGGGCTTCCCCTAGGTCGACTCAGCCTCAAATGAGTACCTGGTGCGGTGTGTAAACATCGCCACTATTGAGACAAAAGCGGTCGGGCGTGGTGCTGGCCACCCACCCCCTCGTGTACCGTTCCGGCCTTCATAGGTGCTACGCTAACAGCACTTGCCCCTACAGTCTGTTAAGGCTATACGGGGGATCTTTGTCTTTGTGTGTCTGGCAAAACAACCCCCTCCCTCCTCGTGGTGCCGGACGGGCAACGTTGTCGTGGACATTGCCGTGGGGGGAGGGGCAATTCCGATTGGCCTCTCCCCTCATGGCATCTGTGACCACCACAGCGGCTAAATGGGGGCTCTGGACGGGTGCGAGTGGCTGGTAACCCCTCCACCTTCAATAAATTACCACTAAACCACTTCTAAAATATCTAATTAATAAGCTTGTGCCGGAGGCCCCAGGGGGACAGGTGTCTATGACATCTCCTGGCCAGACCCCATTTGGTCGAGCCAAGAGATTGAATCTTCGCCCTCGGAGCTCTTCCAGAAACAACAAAAAGCCACTACGGGTGGCCACGTGGAATGTTCGAACGCTCACTGCGGAGGAGAGGCTGCCACACCTCTGTCGGGAGCTGGACCGGTACCGTCTGGATCTTTGTGGCATTCAGGAGGTCCGGTGGACCAGCTCTGGATGCTGCCACTATGAGGGGTGGACAGTCCTCTACTCGGGGCAGAAGACTACTAAACAATAGGGAGTGGCTCTTGTTTTGAAAAAAAGAATGAAGGGGGTGTGGGAGCGTGGCAGTGAGGTGTGGGAAGCTGTAAGCCCCAGGCTATTTTGGGCTTGCCTTCCCATCAACCGGAGGTGAGGACTGGTGGTCGTGGTTACTTATGCCCCCACCGAAGACGAACATCCGTGGAGGGATACAGGCAAGGCCAATGAGTCAGATGCCTTCTATGACCTGTCACAGGTGCTGGCTAAAGTGGCCCCTCGGGATAGAGTCATCTTGTTGGGTGACTTCAATGCCAGAATTGGCCATGATGCTGGCACCTGGTCTGGAGTGATTGGAAGGCATGGGCCAGATCAGCTCAATAACAATGGTAGGAGGCTGCTAGATTTTTGTGCAGCCCATGGGCTTGTAATTACCAACACGCTGTTCAGGCATCGGCACATCCACACAGCATCATGGATGCATGCCGGGTCCAAGTAAGAACATCTGCTGGGCTACATAGTGACGGATCAGCGGATGCGGGCCCATGTCCTTGACACCAGGACCTACTGTGGAGCTGATCTGCCCCCTGACCATCGACTAGTCATCTGTAAGATGCGCCTGCCATTCTTCCATTCCGGTGGTGGGTGGACACCCAGGACCCCATTCCAACCTAAGGTGGCTTGGACTCAGCTTGTAGGCAGGGCAGCCTAAATGTTTCTAACCGGCGAAGATGCTTAGTTTTGGTCGGGTTTAAGCAGGCTGGATTGTGTGAGGAGCTCACAAATCCTTGAAAGATCTGGACAAAGACCCATGGGTGAGCTCCTCCGGCAGACAACGCTGCGTTGGCTGGGCCATGTAGCCCGCATGCCAAGTCGTCGCATGCCTAAACAGCTTTTGTTCGGCTGGATCCAGGGGGCTAAACGGGCACGGCACGGGCTAGAGAAGAGATGGAGTGATGTGGTACAGGAGGACGTGGAGCTGAGTGGACTTGCCTGACTAGTACCAGCGGTGTCAAGATCGGCCTCTGTGGAGGAGGCTCGTGAAGGACGCTACTGGGCAGTTGGAGGCAATCGCCCTCCAACAACAATGGAGGGCGGAGGAGCGACGCTCACAACAACGAGCGGAGCGCCTGGTGGCTAAAGCATAGCAAGTCGGCACAGTAGGGGGCACAGGTGGTGCATCAGCCACTCATCTCAGTCAGTCGACCAGTGGCACCTGGGTCTGCCCCGTGACCTCCTGCCAGCGGGCGTTCTTGTGTATAGTGTAGTGTATAATAAGTGTATGGTGTAGTCACTTGCCCTGCCGGTCGGTCCAGGCTACGCGGCGGGGGGTCTCTGCCGTTGACGGCAGCAAGGCTGCCCGACGCTCCATTCCGCCAACAGGAGGCGGTGAGCCTGACGGCGCTGCTGCCGCCGCTGCTGTTGCTGGACTTACGAGCCGGCGGTCGCTTCGGCTGCGTCTGGCGCGCTCAGCTCCTGTCCGAAGTCGTCGCGGTGAAGATTGTCCAGACCGTGGTGAGACCCCGCACACACACACACACGCACACACGCACACACACACACACACGCACACGCACTCACACACACGCACACACACACGCACACACACACTCACACACACACACACGCACACACACGCACACACACACGCGCACGCACACACACGCACACACACACACGCACACACACACACACACGCACGCGCACACACACACGCACACACACGCACACACACGCACACGCACACAAACACACGCACACACACACACGCACACACACTCACGCACACACACACGCACGCACGCACACACACACACTCACGTACACACACACACACACTCACGTACACGCACGCACACACTCACGCACACGCACGCACACACACACACGCACACACACACAGAGACCCTACACGGCCCACAGAGACCCACAGTGACCCAAAGAGACCCATAGAGACCCACATCAACCAACAGAGACCCATAGAGACCCACACAGACCCATAAAGACCCACAGCAACCCACAGAGACCCATACTCATAGAGACCCACAGCAACCCACAGAGACACACGGAGGCCCACAGAGACCCACAGTGACCCACAGAGACCCACAGCAACCCACAGAGACCCACAGTGACCCATAGAGACCCACAGTGACCCACATCAACCAACAGAGACCCACAGCAACCCACAGAGACCCACAGCAACCCACAGAGACCCACAGCAACCCACAGAGACCCACAGCAACCCACAGAGACCCACAGTGACCCACATCAACCAACAGAGACCCACAGCAACCCACAGAGACCCACAGCAACCCACAGAGACCCACAGCAACCCGAAGAGACCCACAGTGACCCACATCAACCAACAGAGACCCATAGAGACCCACACAGACCCATAGAGACCCATTAGAGACCCATACTCGCAGAGACCCACAGCGACCCACAGAGACTCACAGTAACCCACAGAGACCCACAGTGACCCACAGAGACTCACAGTAACCCACAGAGACCCACAGTGACCCACAGAGACCCACAGAGACCCATAGAGAACCACATCAACCACCAGAGACCCACAGCAACCCACAGAGACCCACAGTGACCGACATCAACCAACATAGACCCATAGAGACCCACAGTGACCCATAGAGACCCACAGAGACCCATACTCAGAGATTCACAGCAACCCAGAGACCCACAGCAACCCACTGCGTGTGTCTCCGTGTGTCTCATATGTCTCCGTGTGTCTCCGTGTGTCTGCGTGTGTCTCATATGTCTCCGTGTGTCTCCGTGTGTCTCCGTGTGTCTGCGTGTGTCTGCGTGTGTCTCCGTGTGTCTCCGTGCGTCTGCGTGTGTCTGCGTGTGTTTCCGTGTGTCTCCGTGTGTCTCCGTGTGTCTCCGTGTGTCTCATATGTCTCCGTGTGTCTCCGTGTGTCTCCGTGTGTCTGCGTGTGTCTCCGTGTGTCTGCGTGTGTCTGTGTGTGTCTCTGTGTGTCTGCGTGTGTTTCCGTGAGTCTGCGTGTGTCTCCGTGTGTCTCTGTGTGTCTCCATTTCTCCGTGTGTCTCTGTGTGTCTCCGTGTGTCTGCGTGTGTCTGCGTGTGTCTCCGTGTGTTTCCGTGTGTCTCCGTGTGTCTCCGTGTGTCTCATATGTCTCCGTGTGTCTCCGTGTGTCTCCGTGTGTCTGCGTGTGTCTCCGTGTGTCTGCGTGTGTCTGCGTGTGTCTCTGTGTGTCTGCGTGTGTTTCCGTGAGTCTGCGTGTGTCTCCGTGTGTCTCCGTGTGTCTCCATTTCTCCGTGTGTCTCTGTTTGTCTGCGTGTGTCTGCGTGTGTCTCCGTGTGTCTCCGTGTGTCTGCGTGTGTCTGCGTGTGTCTCCGTGTGTCTCCGTGTGTCTGCGTGTGTCTCCGTGTGTTTCCGTGTGTCTGCGTGTGTCTGCGTGTGTCTCCGTGTGTCTGCGTGTGTCTCCGTGTGTCTCATATGTCTCCGTGTGTCTCCGTGTGTCTCATATGTCTCCGTGTGTCTCCGTGTGTCTCCGTGTGTCTGCGTGTGTCTGCGGATCTCGCCGCGTGTGTTTCTCGCGGGACCACGGCTTCCCCCCCGCGAGACTTCTGCTCCTCTGGACGCGACCTCAGCCTGAGCAACTTCACACGTTTGTCTCCTCCTCCTCCTCTCCCCGCCATCGTCGTCGGCGTTGTCTTCGTCCGGGACGCTCGCAGAACCAACGGCTGTGGCAGAACGAGGTGGACATTTTCGTCACGCCCGGCCTGAGTCACCACAACCTGCTGCAATTCATCGGCGCGGAGAAGCGGGAAGGGCCCGAGATGTGGATCATCACCGCCTTCCACGAGCGGGTTCATAGACTCACTCACCGTGCAGAGACTCACAGACTACTCACACAGAGACCCACAGACTACTCACACAGAGACCCACAGACTACTCACATAGAGACCCACAGACTACTCACATAGAGACCCATAGACTACTCACATAGAGACCCACAGACTACTCACACAGAGACCCACAGACTACTCACATAGAGACTCACAGACTACTCACACAGAGACTCACAGACTACTCACACAGAGACCCACAGACTACTCACACAGAGACCCACAGACTACTCACATAGAGACTCACAGACTACTCACATAGAGACCCATAGACTACTCACATAGAGACCCACAGACTACTCACACAGAGACCCACAGACTACTCACATAGAGACTCACAGACTACTCACACAGAGACTCACAGACTACTCACACAGAGACCCACAGACTACTCACACAGAGACCCACAGACTACTCACACAGAGACCCACAGACTACTCACACAGAGACCCACAGACTACTCACACAGAGACCCACAGACTACTCACACAGAGACCCATAGACTACTCACACAGAGACCCACAGACTACTCACACAGAGACCCACAGACTACTCACACAGAGACCCACAGACTACTCACACAGAGACCCACAGACTACTCACATAGAGACCCATAGACTACTCACATAGAGACCCACAGACTACTCACACAGAGACCCACAGACTACTCACATAGAGACTCACAGACTACTCACACAGAGACTCACAGACTACTCACACAGAGACCCACAGACTACTCACACAGAGACCCACAGACTACTCACATGAGACTCCACAGACTACTCACACAGAGACTCACAGACTACTCACACAGAGACCCACAGACTACTCACACAGAGACCCACCAGACTACTCACACAGAGACCCACAGACTACTCACATAGAGACCCACAGACTACTCACACAGAGACCCACAGACTACTCACACAGAGACCCCAGACTACTCCACACAGAGACCCACAGACTACTCACTCACTCAGAGACCCACAGACTACTCACACAGAGACCCACAGACTACTCACACACTCAGAGACCCATAGACTACTCACTCACTCAGAGACCCACAGACTACTCACACAGAGACCACAGACTACTCACACAGAGACCCACAGACTACTCACACAGAGACCCACAGACTACTCACATAGAGACCCATAGACTACTCACATAGAGACCCACAGACTACTCCACATGAGACCCACAGACTACTCACACTCAGAGACTCACAGACTACTCACACAGAGACTCACAGACTACTCACACAGAGACCCACAGACTACTCACACAGAGACCCACATACTACTCACATAGAGACTCACAGACTACTCACACAGAGACTCACAGACTATCTACACAGAGACCCACAGACACTCACACAGAGACCCACAGACTACTCACATAGAGACTCACAGACTACTCACACAGAGACCCACAGACTACTCACACAGTAGAGACCCACAGACTACTCACATAGAGACCCACAGACTACCCACACAGAGACTCACAGACTACTCACACAGAGACCCACAGACTACTCACATAGAGACCCATAAGACATACTCACACAGAGACCCCAGACTACTCACTAGAGGACCCCAGACTACTCACACAGAGACCCACAGACTACTCACATAGAGACTCACAGACTACTCACACAGAGACCCATAGACTACTCACACAGAGACTCACAGACTACTCACACAGTAGAGACCCACAGACTACTCACATAGAGACCCATAGACTACTCACACAGAGACTCACAGACTACTCACACAGAGACTCACAGACTACTCACACAGAGACCCACAGACTACTCACACAGAGACTCACAGACTACTCACACAGAGACCCATAGACTACTCACACAGAGACTCACAGACTACTCACACAGAGACTCACAGACTACTCACACAGAGACCCACAGACTACTCACACAGTAGAGACCCACAGACTACTCACATAGAGACTCACAGACTACTCACATAGAGACTCACAGACTACTCACACAGAGACTCACAGACTACTCACACAGAGACCCACAGACTACTCATGTAGAGACCCATAGACTACACACAGAGAGACCCACAGACTACTCACACATTAGAGACCCACAGACTACTCACATAGAGACCCATAGACTACTCACACAGTAGAGACCCACAGACTACTCACGTAGAGACCCATATACTACTCACACAGAGACCCACAGACTACTCACACAGAGACCCATAGACTACTCACACAGAGACCCACAGACTACTCCACAGAGACCCACAGACTACTCACACAGAGACCCACAGACTACTCACACAGTTAGAGACCCATAGACTACTCACACAGTAGAGACCCATAGACTACTCACACAGTAGAGACCCATAGACTACTCACACAGTAGAGACCCAGACTACTCACACAGTAGAGACCCACAGACTACTCACACAGTAGAGACCCACAGACTACTCACACAGTAGAGACCCACAGACTACTCACACAGTAGAGACCCACAGACTACTCACACAGTAGAGACCCACAGACTACTCACACAGTAGAGACCCACAGACTACTCACACAGTAGAGACCCATAGACTACTCACACAGTAGAGACCCACAGACTACTCACACAGTAGAGACCCAAGACTACTCACACAGTAGAGACCCACAGACTACTCACACAGTAGAGACCCACAGACTACTCACACAGTAGAGACCCACAGACTACTCACACAGTAGAGACCCACAGACTACTCACACAGTAGAGACCCACAGACTACTCACACAGTAGAGACCCACAGACTACTCACACAGTAGAGACCCACAGACTACTCACACAGTAGAGACCCATAGACTACTCACACAGTAGAGACCCACAGACTACTCACACAGTAGAGACCCACAGACTACTCACACAGTAGAGACCCACAGACTACTCACACAGTAGAGACCCACAGACTACTCACACAGTAGAGACCACAGACTACTCACACAGTAGAGACCCACAGACTACTCACACAGTAGAGACCCACAGACTACTCACACAGTAGAGACCCACAGACTACTCACACAGTAGAGACCCACAGACTACTCACACAGTAGAGACCCACAGACTACTCACACAGTAGAGACCCATAGACTACTCACACAGTAGAGACCACAGACTACTCACACAGTAGAGACCCCAGACTACTCACACAGTAGAGACCCACAGACTACTCACACAGTAGAGACCCACTAGACTACTCACACAGTAGAGACCCATAAGACTACTCACACAGTAGAGACCCATAGACTACTCACACAGTAGAGACCCACAGACTACTCACACAGTAGAGACCCACAGACTACTCACACAGTAGAGACCCACAGACTACTCACACAGTAGAGACCCACAGACTACTCACACAGTAGAGAACCCATAGACTACTCACACAGTAGAGACCCATAGACTACTCACACAGTAGAGACCCACAGACTACTCACACAGTAGAGACCCATAGACTACTCACACAGTAGAGACCCACAGACTACTCACACAGTAGAGACCCACAGACTACTCACACAGTAGAGACCCACAGACTACTCACACAGTAGAGACCCACAGACTACTCACACAGTAGAGACCCACAGACTACTCACACAGTAGAGACCCACAGACTACTCACACAGTAGAGACCCATAGACTACTCACACAGAGACCCACAGACTACTCACACCACACACACAAAGAGGCACATGTATTGGTTCAATTGAAGCGCACACTTGAACTTGGAGGCAACCATCCCGGAGGGCTGCTACAAGCAACACCTCCTCTGCCTCCCTAAAAAAGCCTCAACACTAAATAAACTTACGAAATACTCTGAGGACTGAAAATCCTACATCGCCACAAATCCCAGCCTTCAATATTGAAATCACAAAGCTAATCAATCAAGCCAAAACAGAACGCAGGCACGAGTTTGTTGAATCTTTTGATCATCGCCAAAACTCATCAAAACTTTGGAAGATCATCGAAGCCTTAAACGGACACTCCAAACCCACCACCCAATTGTGCAATCAATTTCAACAACAAATCCGTCATAAACAACAACAACATCACCAACCAGAGGTGAAACTCGCTATCAAAAAAGCCAAAAATTATTCCGCAATTGGTCCGGATGGCATAGCTATGCCCGATCTCAAACACCTCGGCCCCCCTTGGCATCGAGTTTCTCGCCTCCACCATTAACGCCTCGCTCCCAGTGCAACCTCATTCCGGCCATCTGGGAATCATCGACAATCATCCCACTTCCAAAACCCAGCAAAGACCTCAATCAAGCGACGTCCCACAGGCCGATTTCCCTACTTTACTTGAAACGCTCTTCAACCAAATAGCGCCACCACATCGAAGTTGAACCACTTGCACACCGCTGCCACCATGCACCATCACCACCACCACTACTACCACTACTACCACCACCACCACTACTACCACCACCATCACCACTACCACCACCATCACCACTACCACCATTATCACTACCACGACTACCACCACCACTACCACGACTACAACCACTACCACCACCACTACCACCACTACTACCACTACTACCACCACCACTACCACCACCACCACCACTACCATCACCACCACCACTACCACCACTACTACCACTACTACCACCACTACTACCACCACCATCACCACTACCACCACCATCACCACTACCACCATTATCACTACCACGACTACCACCACTACTATCACCACCATCACCACTACCACCACCATCACCACTACCACCACTACTACCACTACTACCACCACTACTACCACCACCATCACCACTACCACCACCATCACCACTACCACCATTATCACTACCACGACTACCACCACCACTACCACGACTACAACCACTACCACCACCACTACCACCACTACTACCACTACTACCACCACCACTACCACCACTACCACCACTACCACCACCACCACTACCACCACCACTACCACTACTATCACCACTACTATCACCACTACTACCACCATTACTACTACCACCACTACAACCACCATTGCCACTACCACCACTACAACCACTACCACCACCACCACCACTACCACCACTACCACCACCACTACCACCGCTACTACCACCACCACTACCACCACCACTACTACCACCACCATCACCACCACTACTACTACCAACACTACCACTACTACCACCACCACTACCACCACCATCACCACTACTACCACCACCACTACTACCACCACCACCACTACCACCACTACCACCACTACCACCACCACTACTACCACTACCACCACCATCACCACTACTACCACCACCACTACTACCACCATTACCACCACCACTACTACCACCATCACCACCACCACTACCACGACTACCATCACCACTACCACCACTACTACCACTACCACCACCACCACTACCACCACCACTACCACCACCATCACCACTACCACCATTACCACTACCACGACTACCACCACCACTACCACGACTACCACCACTACTATCACCACCACCACTACCACCATTACCACCACGACTACCACCACCACTACCACGACTACCACCACTACTATCACCACCACCACTAACACCATTACCACTACCACCACCACCACCACCACCACTGCCGCTGCTCCCCTCTCACCGCCGCAGGGCTCGCTGTGCGACCACCTCAAGCGCTCCACGCTGTCGTGGCACGAGCTCTGCCACGTGGGCGAGACGTTGGCACGCGGCCTCGCCCACCTCCACCGTCACGTGCACGGAGGCAAGCCGGCCATCGCCCACCGGTACGTCGCTAGCAGGCCGCCCACGGATCACCGGGGGTGGCGGCGGTGCGGGTGGCGGAGTGGGTGGGGGGCCCCTGCCGACCTCGGGTTCGGACTCCGCCAGAGGTCGCAACCGGGTACCCGATACCCGCACCCTACCCGATACCCGTACCCTACCCGATACCCGTACCCTACCCGATACCCGTACCCTACCCGATACCCGTACCCTACCCGATACCCGTACCCTACCCCATACCCGTACCCTACCCGATACCCGTACCCTACCCGATACCCGTACCCTACCCGATACCCGTACCCTACCCGATACCGTACCCTACCCCATACCCCGTACCCTACCCGATACCCGTACCCTACCCCATACCCGTACCCTACCCGATACCCGTACCCTACCCGATACCCGTACCCTACCCCATACCCGTACCCTACCCGATACCCGTACCCTACCCGATACCCGTACCCTACCCGATACCCGTACCCTACCCGATACCCCGTACCCTACCCGATACCCGTACCCTACCCGATACCCGTACCCTACCCGATACCCGTACCCTACCCGATACCCGTACCCTACCCGATACCCGTACCCTACCCGATACCCGTACCTACCCGATACCCGTACCCTACCCCGATACCCGTACCCTACCCGATACCCGTACCCTACCCCGATACCCGTACCCTACCCGATACCCGTACCCTACCCGATACCCCGTACCCTACCCGATACCCGTACCCTACCGCTACCGTACCCCTACCCGATACCGTAACCCGATAACCCGTACCCGTACCCCCATACCCGTACCCTACCCGATACCCGGCTACCCCGTACCCAGCCGGGTACGGGTAGCCGTTTGCGACCCTGGTGCGGCCGGGTACGGGTAGGCCGTGAGTCACTGGGAGTAACTGTTTGTCACTCATTTCGGGTAGGGTACGGGTAGGGAATGGGTACCCATTTGCGACCCTAGTGTGGCCGGGTAGGGTACGGGTAGGGAACGGCTACCCGTACCCGGCCGGGTACGGGTAGCCGTTCCCTACCCTACCCTACCCGAAATGAGTGACAAACGGTTACTCACCAGTGACTCACGGCCTACCCGTGGGTACGGGTACACATTTGCGACCTTGGTGCGGCCGGTTACGGTTACGGGTAAGGAATCAAAACCCGTTTGCGACCTCTGGACTCCGCTTGCGCCTCACGCAGCCCCCTCTCACCCTTCGACCGCTTGAACGCGTCACCGTGCCCCCCCCCGCCCCCCCCCCCCCCGTCTCTCCCGCAGCGACTTGAAGAGTAAGAACGTGCTGCTGAGGAGCGACCTGTCGGCCGTCGTCGCCGACTTTGGCCTGGCGCTCAAACTCCAGCCGGATTGCCCACCCGTCGACATCCCGCGGGTAAACACCGACGCCGGGGCCAAGAGGCGGAGACGCCAAGAGGCGGGAGGGTGCCGATAGAACCTCGTTTGCCAGAAGAAAAAATTTGATAGTTGTTTTTTTTTTACCCTTTTATCTGTGCAACAAGACTAGGCTCTCTGGAAAGCTGTCTCGGGTGTGGACGAATAAACTTCAAGGACAGTGCATATCATCATCAGAGTTGTGTTTTTTGTTTGCATTATGACTGCAGGTATTGCGGTCTATGCAAACATGACTCCTCTTAAAAAAAAGGTGTCAGTTTTGTTGCCAGACAGAAGGGTAAAAAAAACAATTATCATATTTTTTACTGGCAAATGAGGTTCCAATGGTGTAAATGCTTACCCCGAGCTCTCATACTCTGATGGTGCATTGTCTTTGAGTTGTGCACCTTTTGGCGTCATCTGGTCCAACACCATGTGAGACTAGGCTCTAAGGAAAGCTGTCTCGGGTGTGGACCAATCAACTTCAAGGACAGTGCATACATTATCAGAGTTATGTTTTTTTTGCATTATGACCGCAGGTATTGTGGTCTATGGTGTCAGTTTCATCGCCAGATAGAAGGGTAAATATAACCCGTAAAAACAAAGTTTTTTCGCTATAAATCCTTTATATGCGTGGCGGCTAGAGTCCTCTCGTCCTCTGGCTTGAGATGGCTGCCACCTATGGGTCAGATGATTGTCTGCAGTATTAAACAATTGGTAAGCGCGCAAGCAAGCACGCAAGCAAGCGAACTTAATATAAAGGATTTAAAAACCAACGATCAGCTGGAGAGCATCGTGCCGAGCGTGACGCCGCCGCCGTTGCACCCCGCCGCAGGTCGGCACTCTCCGCTACATGGCCCCCGAGCTGCTGGAGGGCGCCATCTGCTTGCAGTCCGACGCCTTCCTTCACATCGACGTCTACGCGCTGGGCCTGGTGCTGTGGGAGATCGCTACGCGCTGCACGTCCAGTGGCGGTGAGCGGAGGTGGCGGCGTCGGCCCCAGGGGCGTGGTGCTGGCCGGTCCTGGTCACCTCTTGTCACACGGTGCCGCCCCACGTGATGTGGGTGGGGGGGTCTTTCTGTGTGTGTGTCTGGTCTGTGTGTCTGTGTCTGTGTGTCTGTGCGTGTGTCTGTGCGTGTGTCTGTGCGTGTGTGCGTGTGTCTGTGCGTGTGTCTGTGCGTGTGTCTGGTCTGTGCGTGTGTCTGTGTGTCTGGTCTGTGCGTGTGTCTGCGTGTGTCTGTGCGTGTGTCTGTGCGTCTGGTCTGTGCGTGTGTCTGTGCGTGTGTCTGGTCTGTGCGTGTGTCTGTGCGTGTGTCTGTGCATGTGTCTGTGCGTGTGTCTGGTCTGGGCGTGTGTCTGTGCGTGTGTCTGTGTGTGTGTCTGGTCTGTGCGTGTGTCTGGGCGTGTGTCTGTGCGTGTGTCTGTGTGTGTGTCTAGTCTGTGCGTGTGTCTGTGGTCTCAGTTAGCTGATGAAAGTTCTCGACCGTCCAACTTTCAAAATGCATCATGGATGCATGCCGGATCCAAGCAAGAACATCTGCTGGGCTACATAGTGATGGATCAGCGGATGCGGGCCCATGTCCTTGACACCAGGACCTACCGTGGAGCTGATATGCCCTCTGACCATCGACTAGTCATCTGTAAGATGCGCCTGCCATTCTTCCATTCCGGTGGTGGGTGGACACCCAGGACCCCATTCCAGCCTAAGGTGGCCTGGTCTCAGCTAGCTGATGAAAGTTGCAAGCGAGAATTTCATCATCACTTGCAGCTGGGGTTGGCATCGTCCCCCACTCCTCCTGATGTCGAGGGTAAATGGGCGAGGTTTAAGACTGTGACTCATGCAGCTGCAATGGCTGCTTTGGGTACACGGTCCAGACCTCCCCAGAAACCCTGGCTGACAGAGGAGGTGCTCAGGATAGTTGAGAAAAAGTGACAGGCCCACTCTCATCGCCTACAGCATCCCACGTCAGAGAATGAGGAGGCTTACCGCAGCCTTCGCTCGGAAGTTCGGAGAGCCGTGAGGCGCTGCAAGGATGGGTGGTGGTTGCGGGTTGCTGAGGAGATGGAGTCTGCCTCAGTGGCCCGCGATCACAAATCACTATTTAACTCCATCAAAAAAGTAACCTGCAGCGCCACACCTATTACCATCACTAGGGGAAAGAACGGTGATCCAATCTCCGACCCCCAGAAACAGGTTTGCAGATTTGCTGAGCATTTCTGTGAGGTCCTGGTGGAGGGGAAATCCCTCAACATGGAAAACATCATGGCACAAATTGGGGATGACCATGCTGAGGCTGCGGTGCCTCAAATATTGGAAGAAGAAGTCACCCCCTGTGAGTGGCTGGCTGAGGTGCCATCTGTTGAGGAAGTACTGAATGCGATCCAGAGTCTGAGACCAGGAAAGGCACCAGGCAGAGATGATCTCCCAAGCGAAATGCTGAGGGAGGGTGGCGTTTGTGCACAGACTGCCCTATATGACATCATAACAACAGTCTGGACCACTGGACGGGTTCCGCAGGATTGGAAGGATGCCCTGGTGGTCCCCCTCTTTAAGAAGGGGGACCGCACAGACTGTAACAACTACAGGGGCATCTCCCAATGCAGTTTCAGGAAAAGGCGGTCCTGCACAGATACCATATTTTCCTTCTGTCTGCTACAGCAGATGTGTAGGGAATTCCAACAAGACCTACATCTCTGCTTTATTGACCTGGTCAAGGCCTATGATACCATCAGTAGGCCTGGGCTCTGGGTTGTTCTTCGTGCTTTCGGAGTCCCTGACCCTCTGCTCACCCTCATTAAGGACCTTCATGATGGTGAGTGGGCCCGGGTAAAACTACGTGGCCGGGAGTCAAAACCATTCCCTGTACACCTTGGGGTGTGACAGGGATGTCTTCTGGCTCCCACATTATTTAACATCTATTTTGACCACATCATTCGTGAAGCCTTCAATAGCTGTACCGGAGGAATTTCCATTTGGTACAGATATAATGAGAGGCTGATCAATGCCCGGGTGCGGTCAAGGGATGGCTTTCTATTGCTCAACCACGTTATGTATGCCGATGATCTGCTAATTACTGCTCACTCGGAGGAGGAGGTGGAGACGCTGCTGCTGAAACTGGAGCGTGCCACTAAAACTAAGCACTTGCCTGGGTATTTTGTACCATCAGACACTCCACCCCCATAACTCCCAATCAGTTGTGGAGAGAATGGAGAGTTTCCCATACCTGGGCAGTGTGCTCATGACCGGTTCCGGTTTAACAGCAGAGGTCTCACTCCGAATCAATCGAGCAGCAATATCTTTTCATCGGTTGCGTAACGCTGTGTGGAAGCTACCTGGTCTGTCGCTCCGCACGAAGCTTCAGGTCTTCTCAGCCACGGTCATTCCCTCCCTTCTCTACGCTTGCGAAACGTGGACCCCCTAATGGAGCATCTTCACCGGTTAGAAACATTTAGGCTGGCCTGCCTACGATCCATCCTGGGTTTAACCAGGCTGGAATGTGTGAGGAGCTCACAAATCCTTGAAAGATCTGGGCAAAGTCCCATCGGTGAGCTCCTCCGGCAGGCAAGGCTGCGTTGGCTGGGTCATGTAGCCCGCATGCCCAGCCACCGCATGCCTAAACAGCCTTTGTTCGGCCGGATCGAGGGGGCTAAACGGGTGCGGCACGGGCTAGAGAAGAGATGGAGTGATGTGGTACAGGAGGACGTGGAGCTGAGTGGACTTGCTGATGCCTGGTACCAGCGGTGTCAAGATCGGCCTCTGTGGAGGAGGCTCGTGAAGGACGCTACTGGGCAGTTGGAGGCAGTCGCCCTCCAACAACAACGGAGGGCGGAGGGGCGACGCTCACAACAACGAGCGGAGCGCCGGGTGGCTAAAGCACAACGAGTTGGCACAGTAGGGGGCACAGGTGGTGCATCAGCCACTCATCTCAATCATCTCAGTCAGTCGACCCGTGGCACCTGGATCTGCCTCCTTGACCTCCTGCCAGCGGGCGTTCGACAATTCACGTCGCCTCAAGGTGCACATGGCCTGGCACAAGCGTCGTGGTGACATCACCGCCACTTTGTGGCGAACGGCGGTTGTTGTTGTCTGTGTGTGTGTTTCTGTGTGTGTGTGTTTCTGTGTGTGTGTGTCTGTGTGTCTGTGTGTGTGTGTGTGTCTGTGTGTGTGTGTGTCTGTGTGTGTGTCTGTGTGTGTCTGTGTGTGTGTGTGTGTGCCAGGCATGCTGGGTGAGCATGTGTGTCTGTGTGTGTGTGTGTCTGTGTGTCTGTGTGTGTGTGTGTGTGTCTGTGTGTGTGTGTGTCTGTGTGTGTGTCTGTGTATGTGTCTGTGTGTGTGTATGTCTGTGTGTGTGTGTGTCTGTGTGTGTGTGTGTCTGTGTGTGTGTGTGTGTGCCAGGCATGCTGGGTGAGCACCGCGCTCCCTTGGTGGACGAGGTGGGTGAGCGCCCCACGCTGGATGAGCTCCGGCACTTCGTGGTGGACGGCAATGGCCGCCCAGCGATCCGGGAGGCCTGGCTCAAGCACCCGGTCGACGTCTCACTCAGTCACTCAGTCACTCACTCAGTCACTCACTCACTCAGTCACTCATTCAGTCACTCACACACTCAGTCACTCAGTCACTCAGTCAGTCACTCACTCACTCACTCAGTCACTCATTCAGTCACTCACTCAGTCACTCATTCAGTCACTCACACACTCACACAGTCACTCACTTAGTCACTCATTCAGTCACTCACACACACACTCAGTCACTCACTCAGTCACTCAGTCACTCACTCAGCCACTCACTCACTCACTCAGTCACTTACACACTCACTCAGTCACTCACTCAGTCACTCACTCAGTCACTCAGTCAATCAGTCACTCACTCACTCAGTCAGTCACTCACTCACTCACTCACTAACTCGCTCACTCTCACAGACTCACTCACTCAGTCACTCACTCACTCACTCTCTCTTTCTCACTCACTCAGTCGCACACTCACTAACTCGCTCACTCGCTCACTCGCTCACTTACTCACTCAGCCACTCACTCACTCAATAGTGCTCTCATTCACTCAATCACTCGCTCGCTCGCTCGCTCACTCACTCACTAACTCACTCGCTCACTCCCTCACCCACTCACTCACTAACTCACTCACTCACTCACTCTCTCTCACTCACTCTCTCTTTCTCACTCACTCAGTCGCTCACTCACTAACTCGCTCACTCTCTCTTGCTCGCTCACTCACTCAGTGACTCACTCATTAAGTGACTCACTCACTCACTCACTAACTCTCTCACTCACTAACTCTCTCACTCACTAACTCGCTCACTCACTCAGTCACTCTCTCTCTCGCTCACTCACTCAGTTAGTCACTAACTCTCTCACTAACTCGCCCTCTCACACACTCACCCACTAACTCTCTCTCTCTAACTCTCTCACTCACTCTCCCACTCTCTTTTTCTCACTCACTCGCTCGCTCACTCACCAACTCGCTCACTCGCTCGCTCGCTCACCCACTCACTCAGTCACTCACTCACTAGCGCTCTCATTCACTCAGTCACTCGCTCGCTCACTCACTCACTCGCTCACTCAATCAGTTACTCACTCAGTCACTCCTTCATCACCCACCCACCCACTCAATCAGTCACTATCAGTAACTCACTCATTAACTCGCTCACTCCACTCACCACTCACTCACTGACTCACTCACTGACGCACTCCAAGGCTCACTCACTTCCCACTCACGCACTTATCATTCAGTCACTCACTCACTTTTTCTCTCACTCACTCACTCAGTCAGTGAACACACTCACGCACTCACCTCACTCACAACTCTGCTCCCTCAGCCGCTCACTCACTCACTCACTAACTCTCTCACTAACTCGCCCTCTCACACAACTCACCCACTCACTAACTCTCTCTCACTCTCCCACTCTCTTTCTCACTCGCTCGCTCACTCACTCACTAACTCACCTCGCTCACTCAGTCAGTTACTCAGTCACTCCCTCACTCACCCCACCCACTCACTCAGTCACTTACTCGCTCACTCACGAACTCGCTCACTCGCTCACTCACTCACTCAGTCAGTCAGTCACTCACTCACTAACTCGCTCACTCGCTCAGTCACTCAGTCCCAGTCAGTCACTCACTAACTCGCTCACTCACTCTCATAGGACTCACTAACTCACTCTCTCCCTCACTCCACGCTCGCTCACCCACTCACTCACCTCGCTCACTCACTTACTCGCTCACTCACTCGCTCGCTCACTCCACTGGCTCATTCACTCCACTGGCTCACTCACTCACCACCTCAATCACTCACTCTCTCACCCACTAACTCACCCTCTCCCTCACTCACTCGCTCACTCACTCACTCACCCAATCACTCACTTACCCTCTCACCCACTCACTCACTCGCTCACTCACTCACTCACTGGCTCACTCTTTCCCTCCCCTCCTCCTTCCCTCCTCTGTCATCCCTCCTGGTCATGTTACTAGGGCGCAGATGTTGACTACCTCACCTGGTCTACGGGAGGACGTGGGTTCCATCCCGACCCTGACGATGTCTGCCGCTGTATTTGAAGTTGCGTTTTAACCTCGGCTGATGGTCAACTCATCCAGCAGCAGATTGACCTCGTGGTGGCTTGCTGGTGGTGGTGGTGGCGGTGGTTGGCGGCGGTGGTGGTGGTGGTGGCGGTGGTGGCGGTGGTGGCGGTGGTGGCGGCGGTGGTGGCGGCGTGGTGGCGGCGGTGGCGGTGGTGGCGGTGGTGGCTTGGTGGTGGTGGTGGTGTCTTGGTGGTGGTGGCGGTGGTGGTGACGATGTTGGTGCGTGACTCCCAGGGACTGTCCAGCTGTGTGTCACCATGGAGGAGTGCTGGGACCAGGATGCGGAGGCTCGCCTCTCGGCGCACTGCGTGGAGGAGCGTCTGGCGCAGCTGCGGACCGACCCGGGGCTGCCTGGTGGCAGCGGTGGTGGTGGTGGTGGCAGCGGTGGCACCACAGCCGCCCCTCCACCCACCACCACCGTCACCGCCACCGTCACCGCCACTCCACCCACCACCACCACCACCGCCCCTCCACCCACCACCACCACCGTCACCGCCCCTCCACCCACCACCGCTATCGTCACAGCCCCTCCACCCACCGCTATCATCACCGCCCCTGCACCCACCACCACCGCTATCATCACCGCCTCTCCACCCCACCACCACCACTATCATCACTGCCCCTCCAACCACCACCACCACTATCATCACCGCCTCTCCACCCCACCACCACCACCGCCAGGCCCCTCCGCTCCGACCCCATCGTCCTTCTCTCCAACGCGACACCCCGTCACTCGTCGTCGCCCCCATCGAGGAGTCAAGCCTCTAGGCCGGGGGGGCGCGGTGGGTAGGGGTGGGGAGGGGGGGCTCCGGGGGGGTGGGGGCGCTGTGGGGGGGGCAGCACGCAAGGCCCCCCACGGCGTGAACGTGGCACGGCCTGACTGCAGAGGCTTTTTCACTGGGCCTGCTTAAACAGGCTTTACTAAGCCTAACTGGACAGGCTTTACTAGGCCTGACTGAACAGCCTCCACTAGGCCTCATGGTCAATCCACAGCTGGATGAGTGACCATCAACATTTCCTATACTGTTGAAGTCCTATCGTGTTTGTGTCTTGTGTTGTTTTTGTCGTAACGTTCTGACACCGTGCCCCCTACTGGACATCTGTGACACACCAAGAGCTTTACAGCTCTTCGGATTCCTCCGGTGTTAATAAAGACGTTGACATCACTCTCAAATGTTTGTCATTTGTAAAGCTTCCGCCCCATTACGCTCCCAATGACTACGACGCATTAGCAAATCGTAGCCCGTTTAGGATCAGTAAGATCACACCCGCAACAGGAGTTGTGTATGGGTTAGTGTAAAGGGTAGTGCATAGTAGTGTAGTGCAGTGGTGTCACTAGGGGGGTGCGAACCGCACAGGGTGACACCATCAGAGGAGGTGACACCAAAATGACCGTCTGTACAATTTGTGTGCAGTGTTTCAGTATAAATTTATTATTTTAAGAAAAAATATATTCCTGTAGTTCTAACAACAAACAACTTTGTTGTTGTCATAACTAAGCCCAGCTTACATGTGTAATAAAGGACTCGACCCTGGTTCTGTCTCCGTGTCCTTTATTTGGGTTCGCGTTCTCTTTCCCTCACGGCACTCCTCCTGAGACTCTCTGCCTGGCAGCTCCACAGCTGCCTTCGCTCCCGTAGCCTTCCGCGCTCCTGCAGCTCCGCTGCAGGCTCTTGGTGCAGCCCTCTGGCTGCTCTCACAGCAGCTCCACGCTGCTCCCTGTTCCTCCGTGCTCGGTCACCGCTGGCCGGCGGTGCCGAGTCTTACCGTGTGTGGCGATCTCGCCACTCCCCAACCTCAGCCCTGCGTGGCCTCTGTGGCTATCTCGCCATCTCCAATCTCAGCTCTATCCCCAACTCTCTTCCACCCCGCTGGCTGGCGCCGTCATGAGCCCCTCAGCCACCAGGCTGAGGCACGGCGACCACCCAACGTGTTCACCACCCTTCACTCCCCGACTGACCCAGATGGCTTCCTGTCTCCCTGCTATAACTTCTCCCCCACGTGACCCTGACTCCTCCCTCTCGGATCGTCATATCCGCCCCGCCCATTTACGCCCGCATTACATTAATAACAGTTATATGCTTAATACAATGTACAAAGTACATATAGTATCGTAATTGTATAGTAAACATATAGCAGCATATAGCAGTGTGATACATTAGGGTGGGTAGAATAATACATAGTGTTATATTAAAATGTGGTTTATAGCAATACAGTATATAATTTAATGTTGGGTTTATCTATGGCAGTATATAGTACGGTGTATGCTCGTGTGATGTAAGAGAATAAAGTTTAGATGGAAGCATATTATATAATTTTTACGACGTAGAATTGTAATGTATTACTTGCTGTTAGTAAACTCAGCTTATTGTAGAGTAGTAAATATACTGATGATGCTATGCAGTTTATACTTCAGTTTTTTATGTAGTTTATACTTTAGTTTTCTACGTGGTTGTTCAGTAACTGCAGCTACATACTATTAACATTCCTTTCCTTTGTTAATGCTACTCCCTGCACCCTCCCTTGGTGCTGCTGATCCTGCATAATGCATGGGCATAATAGACTTTGAAACCCCCCCGCCCACCTCCTACACATTTCCCATGAATATGCTAAATTCCTCTTGATATGCACATTCTTTTGTTAAGGCGCTCCTCTTCCACCTCCTACCCAGATATATAAGCTCCTCGCTTGGCAGTGTCTCATTCTTCACCTGAAGACGGCTGCTTGCGTTGTAGCCGAAACGTCGTGAGAATTATTTTATTATTTTTTTATTTTATTACTTCCCTTCTACGTGACTTTACCGAAAGAACCAAGAAGATGAATCCCTGCGTCACGAAAGCTTTAAATCCTTGGAGAGCTCTTTGCTCTTGGCCATGGTGGAGCGTTTGGAATCTGATTGATTGCTTCTGTGAACAGGTGTCTTTATATAGCTAACAAGCTGAGATTAGGAGCACTCCATTTAAGAGTGTGCTCCTAATCTCAGCTCGTTACCTGTATAAAAGACACCTGGGAGCCAGAAATCTTTCTGATTGAGAGGGGGTCAAATACTTATTTCCCTCATTAAAATGCAAATCAATTTATAACATTTTTCCCTGGATTTTTGTTGTTATTCTGTCTCTCACTGTTCAAATAAACCTACCTTTAATATTATAGACTGATCATTTCTTTGTCAGTGGGCGAACGTACAAAATCAGCAGGGATCAAATACTTTTTTCCCTCACTGTATGTTAACCACACTGTGTGTACACCTATGTTAACCACATTGTCTCAACGTTGCA